AAAATGAGGGTTTCCTGTACAGTTTAATATATATATATATGTTTTGTAAAATGGCAGGTCTTTGCACCTTTTTCAAAAACGCATGGGTAGTCGTCAGCTGATGAGGACCACTGATTTCTGATAGGGTCACACCATAGCTTTTGTATGGGCAAGCCCACAGAAAACAACTCTAAGTAGATCATGGGTGTCCATATAGAAATACATATAGTTATACATATATATATAGTTACGTTTTTAAATTTACATGCTAATATACATATATAGTACAGAAAGAGAGAGAAAGAGAGAGAGAGAGAGAGACCTGCTGATACCTGTACTTTTGGAAACTTGAAGTACGTGCACAAGTATCAAGAGCAAAGTACCACATGTATGCATATCACAATTCATTGTCAGCTATGAATCAACAGCGAAAAAGTTGGTCCATACCTCCGCATCAAATGAATCAGCATCAAAACGGGCATGCTTTCTTCTTGCTTATATCATATGCACGTCTATTTGCTTATGAACAGCCTGAAGCAACCACCCACCATTTGACACGAATACAAACGAGCTTACACCTCAAAGGGAACCAAAGCCAATCCTAACCGATGCAGCCTTGCAGAAACCTGGAGAGGGTCCCAAAATACAAATCTACCAATGTGTTCAGGTCCATCTCTGGACATGACCAACACATCGGCGCGAAAGCTTTGGTATTTTGGTACCCTCTCCACTTACTTGTTTAATTTGTGACGGATTTGGATTGGTTTTATGGACACCTCAAAAGGTTCTGGTGATGCTGCTTACAAGCAGACAACTTCGCTTTTAAGTTAAGCAAATGCCTTATCAACACAAATGTTTTTAGCCTGATGTTCCTTGTGTTGATATAGAGGAGTTAAGTCATTGCAATGAATAGCAAGCTTCTATTGCTGCATTCCAAGAAGTTACATGCAGGGGATGGACAATTCTTCTTTACGCCAACGGCGTTGTTTGCGACCCCAGAAGAAATTGTGTTTTTCGGCTTGGATGACATTAGTAGGTATGCAAAAGGGTTGATGTTTGATATGTTTGGTGGGGATTGGGATTTGGTGGGAGGCTAATGACGTTGGTTTGGATGTGCTTCGAAAATGATGTCACATGCCTTCAACGATACATAGCAAGAAGGACCACGCCTGCAACATCGACACAGGCTGATGCTGTAGGTGAAATCCCGGATCTTTTGCAACAATGCGACCAAAGATCAGTGGCAGGCAGAGGGAGAGCTCTGTCGCAAGGCGATGCGCCACTGAGAAAAAAACAGATTGCTTGATATGGGAGCCGCCCACTGCATGTATGTCAGAGTGAGAAGCACAAAAGACTTGTTTATGTATATAAGCAGAAAAACATAATACAAAAAGCGACACTTCAAGTCAAAAAGACTTGTGACCACCGCGTAAAAAGAAACACCCTGAACACGCTTCCTGACTGGGAACACCAATCACAAGACGTGATGTTTAACAAACACGAGAACAAAACAAAGCAACAAAACTGCTACGAAAAACGCATCCCCCCTGAAACCAGAAATTGAAGGCAGAACCTGACTAGGGAGGATGAAAAAACGACCTGGAATGTTGTAAAATATTGTAAATACAGTTCTTATGACAGACGGTGTGAACACCGAAGGCTTTTGATCTCGAAAGCTAGGAAAACAGGTGCGGCCCTTGAGTCATCAAGGGTTATGAGCCCAAAAGGCGTGGGGGTGAAGGAGCTCCAAGGGGGCGAAGTCCGACTACAAGAAGGCTCCGGCATGAGCAGGGTGCGAAGTTCACTCCGAACGGCGCCAAGGTCGCACCTGGGCCGCCTCCTGATGCTTCGTTGCCGCCTTTTCCCACCAGTGACTCAGCTGAAATTAGTTTCCTGCAGGGCTACGAATGGCTGGAATCACGCCGTCGCGGTCGTGGAGATGAACAATGGCTTCCAGCAAGCTTGAGAGAAGGGAAGACATTCCTGGCAAGAGACGATCGCGCTGATCGACTTGAGAACGAGGTGCAAGGTTTGAAGATGTCGCTTCAAAAGATGCAAGATGGAGCTACGATCTGGCAGTCGGCCATGGGCTCCAAAGAAGCACCACCAGCGCCTCCACCAGAGATGTTGCCAGGGAAGAACTACTTGGTCGACGTGCACCTGATCCATTTCTAAGTGGCCACGATCTTCATGGCGTTGCAAGTGGAGCCAATGGTCGCATGAATCCAGGCGGTCGAGATGGAGGTCTTCCACATGATGACCCATCTGGTGGAAACTATGGCCGTTGGCGTGGTGCGGACAGTCCCGCTCCGGTTCCGTTGCCATGGAATGAAGGAACGGCCAATGGCAAGGCAGAGCTCGCTGAGCTTTCGGCAGACGCCTCGCCGCTGGAGCTTGGCGATTGGCTGGGAGTCTGTGGCCCCGTCCTTCGGGACATCTCCCAGGTCAGTGCCAGATGGTGGAATCTGACTTTGCGGGAGGCTCAATGTTTCTATGAAAGGTGGAAGATTTCATCACCTTTGGAGCGAGTGCAAATCAATCCTCGCTTGTCGGATGAGCTGCTGGACGGTGGCTACCAGAGGACTGAACAGAGGGGAGTGAATTTGCTTCTGAGGGCCATTCCGGCCGACCAACAGCCGGCTTTGATCTCCGCCCGTGAGTTGAACTCCACGGCACTGCTGTTTCGCTTGCTGGTGAGGTACCAGCCTGGTGGCTCTGGCGAGAAGGCTATTTTTGCTTTCAAAGTTGACAGTTTTGGACAAGAGAGCCACGGTCACCGAACTTGCAGCAGCCTTGAGGTCCTGGCGACGCCACTTTGCCAGGGCTGGTGAGATCGATGCAGTGCTTCCTGATGGCATTCTGTTGCTGGCAGCCTTGGAGCCAGCCTGTACGATGATTGCAGCTCAGGACTGTCAGGCAGCTTTCCGTTTGGCTCAGAGCCGGCTGCAGCTTGGGATCGACCAACGACCTCATCTTCAGGATGTTTGGCGGTTCAGCCAATGTCTGCTAGCTGAGGCAGAGACGCTGTCATTGATGATCAATGCACCCATCGCGACGCCCTCACCTATTAAGGTCAAGCAGATGGAAGCTCCAGCTGCGGCAACTGCGACCTCCGGTGGCTCCATGGAGAAGGGCAAGGGTATTTCCACGGCGGTTCAGCCGTGCAGGTACTTCCGCTCCGACACGGGATGCAAAACTGGAAAAAATTGCAAGCGGTCGCGTTCGTGGAACGGGGTGGAGGACAAGAACGCTCGATGTTGGATTTGTGGGGCAAAAGACCATCGCAAGTCAGAGTGCAAGTTGAAAGGCCAACCACCCAAGGGCTCCAACAAGGAGGGCAAGTCTGCTGGTGAACCTGGCGCAGGTTCAGGGGGAGGAAAGGGCAATGGAAAGGGCAATGCTTCCAAAACGACTGGCCCTGGTTCGTCGACCTCAACGACTACCTCAACACCGCCCAAGCTTCAGGAGATGGACGCTGGTGGGCTGATGCCGCATGGTGAACCTGGAGATGGGACAGTGACCAAAGCCACAACGAGTGAAGTCTTGCTTCAAGAGGCGACAAAATTGTTGAAGTCGCTCAGAGCTCCCCAGCTGCGTGTGATCAAGGTGAGCCACTGGACTATGACAACAATGCCATGATGGTCCTCTTGGATTCGGGAGCAACCCATGCATTGAGGCCTGCAAGCTGTGCAGGGGAGTGGGACAATGCAACCCCCACGGACTATGAAGAAGAAGAGCATGTCCCCGAGATTGGGGAGAATGAAGATGCTACGATCCGGAAGAGCTCTATGGTGAGGATTTTGAAGTGGCAAGGTGGTGCTGGACAGGCATCAACAGCACCTGAAACCTTGCGACGAAGGTCTAATCAGACCTGGGAAAGGCAAGAAGAAGAGCCATCGTCGCCTGGCATTTCGGCCATCCAGGCCGTGACAGAAGCAGCTGGAGAAGCAGAAAAGGCTGCTCGAAACGCCTTGAGGGCGGCAATGCAGCTGATCGTGCTGCCGAAAGCGCTGAAGTAGTGTCTGAGAGGCTGCAAAGGGCTGCAGAAAAGCCTGTTTCCACGAACAGCCAACTGGCTGAGAAGGTTCCTACGAATCCGTGGAACCGATTTCAGAAGATGAACGCCGGGAAAGGCTGGTCAATGGACCGAATGAGAGCCGAGTACTGGAAAAGCTCGGCTGGACGAAAGCCTTGAGCCTAGTGTCCTTTTTTCCCGATGTTTCGCTAGCAGCGAAAGGGGGAGTCTCATGACAGACGGTGTGAACACCGAAGGCTTTTGATCTCGAAAGCTAGGAAAACAGGTGCGGCCCTTGAGTCATCAAGACAGTATTTCAAGAACACAACGTTCTTGACACCAAAAATGAAATCGCCAAAAACCTCAATGTGTTAACATGTTCAACCAACACCACCCTTGGCACAATCGCGAAAAAGACTCCGGGTCTAACTACGCCATAGCCTTGTTTAAGCAAAGTTAGAAGGGTGATGGTCTTTGAAACAAAAAGCACGGCATAAAATGCTTCAAGAATAACATAAAGCATACTTCAAGGAATGAGTGTCACATTAGGACAAGGTTTCTATTCATAAACCACACATTTGTTCACAGAGTAGGAGAAAAATTGTGTTCGTTTTGGAGACTATTGGTGTCTATTTAGGACACAGGTTTCGATCTAGGACGTTGGTTTCTTTTTAGGGCACAAGTTCATACCCAACAGGACCTTGATCTATATTTACTGGACCAAGTTGCAAATTCTCCTAAGAACCAAACCCATATTTGGTGTATGCATGTTTATGATACAAAACCACGCTTTTGTGCTGAGGGTGATGTGAAGGACATGTCCTTTACAAGGATCCCATTCTGATCTAACGGTGGTAGAGCGCTCATGCTCCTTGCAAGGCTCGATATTGTTTTGATTGCTATGGCCTATAGTTTGACGCCATCCCATTTGTACAAAATAGTGTTTCATGCTCTGACTCACTGACATGGAAATGGAAAATAGGACGCTGGAAGACCATGTTGGTTTTCACTTCCAATGACCAACTTGACTGATGAGGTGACAAACACACGCAAAGACACCTCGAGATGATCGTCGACCAACCATCCGCGCCGCTGCGCGATGCATCCTGCCTTCCTGGGCAGTGGGGTTCAGCAGCACCGTGGTGATCTTCAGCTTGCGGCCCTCAACCAAGGAGCATGGGAAAGCACCAGTGTCCTTGTCCGGCAGCACGAAACCGCGCTGGTCCTGGCACGCGCATGGTCATGGCGCTTATGGGGGATAAACCTCGAAATATCGTCCAATAGGGTCCTATTGGCGGTTATGTACCGTGTGTTCTTTAATCACTCTGGGTCCAAGAACCCCAAATTTGATTCTCTTCAGCTGGCAAACAAAATTGGTAGCCTTTCTGAAGAGTGACACTTGTTTTGATTATCATTTCAGACTAAACAGTTTATATAGTCATCTATAGTCTATAGAGTCTGTGGTCTGTGTCCCGTGCAAAGTCGAAGGAAAAAAAACCTGCTGATGAATACCATTGAGGAGTTGAGGACCAAAGCAATCTCAGGAATTGAACATGAGAACTGTTCATTACACAACAAAGTTTGTTGCACAAAAACAGCTAGGCTAGGAGCACACTCTGAACACACAACGGGATTTGTTTTTGTTGTTTTTAAATGTTGGGTAACACACTGGCAACAAAAAGAGCATGTTCCCAGAAAAATTGGGAACAAACACATTCACAACGACTGGGTTGCCTTGTTATGTGAAACCCACTCGCAAAGACTAGATGTGGGTGTCAGGTGTGTCATTTGAAAACATGAACCATCGGAAAGGAAAGGCACCTGCAAGTCCCAAAATGAAGTAGGCGGAAATGAACTTGCAAAAAACACTGTTGTGTTCTTGACAACACGGGGCAGTTTCACGGAGAATGAAAACTGACAAATGACGAGAGCATGTGAACAAACAATGGGGTCAGTGTTGTTCTCTTGAAAGCATTGGAGAATCCCGCTGTCAACAAAAAACGGTCTGCTTTCTTGAGAAGGATTCTGAGGAGACCATCCAAGAATGGGGAAACCAATTTAGGAGCAAAGAACCGGGCGTTGTTCTTTTGAATAAACTGGCGGAACCCATCAGCAAAGCCAGGTTGAGAGCTTCTTTTCCTAAAGCAACTGGGGGGGGGGACCTTCACAGCCACGACGCGGGAAAATAAATTTCCTTGGCCAACCATGAGGACATTTGAGAACGAGGCTGTCTGGTTGTGGGCACCCAGCCATTTTGGCTGACGGTCAACCAATGGGCCAGACTGGTTGCTTCTAATCCACACCCATGTCATCTCCTGCAGCTTCAGCGCTTCCCCATCTGCCTCTGCTTGAAACACTTCCCCCGCCGCCAGCTGCCCCTGAACCGCACTGGTCGCCGACTTCGCGGAATGCAGGAGCAACGGCCTCCATGCGCGGCTCGGGTCCGCATGGACCCCTGCGTTTCCACCGGTTGCGGTTTAAATCTTAAGCCGGGGCCTTTTTGAACTTCGATGAACACCCAGCCTTCAGCAGTCAGAGACCTTGCCGCCTGTATCGGATTCTATCGGAGGCACTGGATTTGAGTGAGAATTGGGAGCTACCAGTACCTTCTTGTTACTAGTAGTAACGTGCCTTGTTACTAGTTTCTACTGAGATTAATTTAAGGTCGGGGGAGTGTTGGAGGCAACTCATCCCAAGCATCCAAACGCATCCAAGCAGATAAAGGCAACTTCTCCAACTTCTCTGGCCTTTCTGCCTGCCAACGCGTGCTTCCAGAGCCCAAGCGCTTCAGCCGTGCAGGGATGCCAAAGTCATATCTCACCTTGTCAGTTGGGTGACCGAAGGGTGAAGGCTTCGAGGAGAATCAGACTGAGTCGACTGAGCACGAGTTGGGAATTCTTTGCTTGGAGGTCATGAAGGTCTAGGCGTGAAATCCGCCGACCGCGGCCTAGGCCTGAGCGGAGCGGAGCCGGCGTGTGCCTGTTGAGGGACTCCGGTGAACGGTGGACCAACATATAGTTTCACGATGGATATGTTGATGGATGTGAGGTCGTTTTCAATGCCCCGTGGTGCCAAATATCCTGCCGGAGTGACCTTGCATTAATAGTATTTTGTGCTTCTGCTTGCTCTTGCTCTCCTTCTCTTCCTCTTCCATAAAAAGAGACAGCGCAAGGGAAAGAGACCGGGTAAACAGAGCAAGACGATGCGAAAGCGGAAGAGACAGAAAAGAGGCAGAGAAAGAGGACGAGAAAAGGGAGACACAGAGAAACAGGAGAAAGAGCCAGAGAAGGCGAAAGGAAAAAAAAATGGAGTAGAAAGAGAAAGAGCAAGAGAAAAAGATAAGCTGCGCCTGCGCCTGCCCTGCTTGCCTGCCCGGCCCCATCTTGGGCGTAAGCCTTGAAATCATCGGTTCTCTCTCTAAGATCGACTTGAAGAACTATCGTCTCCCTGAAAATCTACTTGCTTTGATGCGTGGCAAACAGCAGGAGTTCTTGTCCCCAGATTTTTCCACCACGTTCACATCCCCAGCTCATGGAAAGCTCCTCTTCCATTTATTCGGCCAAGAAAACTCCATGAACCGTCACAAAATTTCTGGGACAACCATGAATTGGTGCTGGAGCCCGCCAAAGAGGAAAAAACACAACACTTGGTTCACTAGAAAGAATTGAAGAACAGCCTTGGACACAGTTTGGGGCACAGATTGTCACGCACAAAATGCCATCCAAGACCGGGACCCCTGATTTAGTGGGAATTGCACCAAACAACCAGAGAGTGGGACATATCCAACCAAGTTGCATGGTCACAGCCAACGATCAGCAGCATGCCACGGCGCTGGTCTTTGTTCAGATATCGCCAGGCTGCATAGGCCATGGCCTGGCCAGGGACAGCTCGGCACGGCTCAACGAGCACTCGTCTTTCGCGTCGTTGGCACTGAGGGGGAATGAAGGACGTGACCCGATCTCATGAGTGAAAGCCAGGAATGTGATGGAATTCAGGATTGGCTGCCAAGCCATCAAAGTCTGTTGCCCAAACGGGCGATCAATTTTTGGATGTCTATGAGGAAGTACTCGGTGTGTTTTGCCCCACAGCGCAGATGTAAAAAAAAAGCAGCCTGTGCGTCCATGAGTTCCAGGTGAAGGACGACACAAGCTGACCCAGGCATTGCTCAGTTCTTGATACCTGACCACTTAGAGTGCAGCTCTCGCCTTTTTAAGGGCCATGCCACCAAGCCTGATAAAAAATGCGAATGCCCCAATGCCCAGTCTGATATGAATACTTCGGGTGCTCGGTCTTTGCAAACCATACGGTTTGCAATATTCACGAAAATTGTCACAAAATAAAGATAAATTGTAGCAAAAATACGCAGTCATAAATTTCCACAAAATTAAAAATATATATCCGCCGACCCCACTCGTGGGATGAGGCGTGACTGTTGATGGCTAAGGCTATGATTAAGGCTAAGGCTAAGGCTATATATACTTACGAAGGCTAAGGCTATACCTCCCCTACCCCTCCGGAGCCTTGTTGCAGTGACGAAAAGTACCCGAGATTTGTCCAAGATTTGTGCAAGATTTGCGCAAGATGTGTCCAAGTTCTTGCCAAATGTATGGTTTGCTTCCTACTGGGGATTGGGGCACCCTCTCCACCCGCGCGGGAAAATGAGCACGGTCCCTAAATGGTCCCGGGCTCGAATCCCGGGCTGGTCGCGGCCTGGTCCCTGCCAGTGCCCTTGGTTTTTGCTAGCTTTTGTAACGTTTTCCGCTGGATTTCTAGGATTTTCAACCGTTTTTGCAAGATTTACTCATGCCTTTCAGGTCTTTTGCGGAGTTTTTTCCAACATTTTCTGTGGTTCTTCTAGGTAGTTCTGTGGTTGTCTAAAGTCTCCATGTTGTTTTTTGGGTTCCCAGATTTTCAAGAAAAAATGCTAACTCATTTTCCTCGATGTTCTAACGTTTTCCGCTGGATTTCTAGGATTTTCTATGGTTTCTGTAAGATTTACTCATACCTTTCGTACCTTGTGCGAGGATTGTTCTAGGATTTTCTCTGCTTGTCTAGGGCCTCCGTGTTGTCCTTTTGGGTTCCCAGATTTTCAAAGAAAAATACTAACCCATTTTCCTCGATTTTCTAACGTTGTCTGCTGGATTTCTAGGATGTTCCAAGGTTTTGTCAGTTTTACTCTCCACACGCGCGGAAAAATAAGCACGGTCCCCGGGCTCGAATCCCGGGCTGCTCGCGGCCTTGTTCCTTGCTAGTGTCTTTAGTTTTTCTACAGTTTCTAATCCGCCGACCCCACTCGTCGAATGAGGCGTGACTGTTGATGGAGGCTAAGGCTTTGATTAAGGCTAAAGGCTAAGGCTAAGGCTATACTTACGAAGGCTAAGGCTATACCTCCCCTACCCCTCCGGAGCCTTGTTGCAGTGACGAAAAGTACCCGAGATTTGTCCAAGATTTGTGCAAGATTTGCGCAAGATGTGTCCAAGATTTTGCCAAATGTGTTGGTTTGCTTCTTACTGGGGATTGGGGCACCCTCTCCACCCGCGCGGGAAAATGAGCACGGTCCCTAAATGGTGCCGGGCTCGAATCCCGGGCTGGTCGCGGCCTGGTCCCTGCCAGTGCCATTGGTTTTTCCTAGATTTTGTTATCGTTTTCCGCTGGACTTCTAGGATTTTCAAAGGTTTTTGTAAGAATTACTTATGCCTTTCAGACCTTTTGCGAGGGTGTTGTCCAGCATTTCCTCTGGCTTGTCTAGGTACTTCTAAAGGCTCCGTGTTGATTTTTGGGCTCCCAGATTTGCAAAGAAAAATGCTAACCCATTTTCCTCCATTTGCAAACGCTTTCCGCTGGATTTCTAGGATTTCCTAAGGCTTTTCTAAGATTTACTCATGCCTTTCATGCCTCTTGCGAGGGTTTCTCCAGGATTTTCTCTGGTTTTTCTAGATAGTTCTGTGGTTGTCTAGGGGCTCCGTGTTGTTTTTTGGGTTCCCAGATTTTCAAAGAAAAATGCTAACCCATTTGCCGTGCTCTCTTCTGCATACTTTGGTGATGCAGTGACAGATCATGTCTCTAGGGGTTCCGTGTTGTTTTTCGGGTTCCCCGATTTTAAAAAAAAAAAACTCTTAACCCATTAAACCTAGGCCATCCACTTGCCTGGGGGTCGGCGGCTGCCAGGCGTTAGCCTGGTTAAATCAATATATATATATATAATAGTAATAAAATAAAGTATATATAAATACTTTCAACAAATGGATCTATCTTGAAGTGCTCTTTAACAACTTGCTAAATCTCAAGTGTATGAATTAAAAAGGTCCTCAACAATCTCAACAAATGTACAGGTCCCCTGTAAAAAATAAAAGCCTCAAAAAGAAAAAGAATCAAAAAAAAATAACAATAAACTATCAAAGCATTCACTCTCTCATCTATTTTTTGTCGAAAGACCACCTCTGCCTCACGTCACGGTCCCCACCTCCCGCCTCATCTCTGAAGACGCGTGCGCTGAGGAAGTTCTGGGGCGTCGCCACCGTCTCGTCACGGCTGCCTCCGACTAACCAGACGACTGCAGAATCATGTCCCTCGCGCATGCTGGCTGGGCAGCTCACATTGGAAGACACGAATCAATGAAACCAAAAGAAAACGATCTTGTTGTGAAACGACTCCCAGTGAAACCATTCCCACTTCTAGTTACTAGAAAGCGTTATTACTAAGAAGCTTCAAAGACCTACGACGTCACGGGAAAAAGGAAAAGTGCGACTCATCGCGGCTTGTCGATGAACTACCCGGCTGAATGTCCGATTCGTGCAGAGTCCACAGTATCCCTGTGCACGAGTAACTTCAGTCAATGCGGAAAGCATGTGAGTGGAAGTTGAATGGGCATACTACTAGTTACCTTCCTGGTTGGTAGTTGTCTTATAACTGATGACTCGTAGCATCTAAGCAAAAAAGTTGACATAGTTGTGAGGCAATGCACAGGAACTTGCAAACCAGTTCTGGCCACTTCCAACATAGTGCAAGGTGTCCTTATGTTTCGTCCCAAGCCCTCATTGGATGCACAACCAGAAACACTGGTCGCACTTGGCAGTTTCCTTACTTGGGTATGGCGTTCATTCTTTGGCGGTATGAGCCTTCTTATTATTGCCTCAAGCCACCAGAAGTATACTAGCCGCCATAAAATCCTCTGGTGCCACCATCCTAAAGATTGAATCCCACATTCCCGCACTGCCCGGCCTAGCCATTCCCCAGCCACATGCGTGTCGTAGCTGGGCATCACTACCAGGTCTGCATAGCTCCGAAAGGCTGGTTCACGCAAAGTGGCCGCAAACCCGACAGCATCTGGGAGGTACCTCGTCGGCCGATGCCGGAAAGGTTAATGCGGGGGTTCCCAAGGTCTGGTAACAAGATCTGATAAATGGATCTCCCCCAACAAAAAAGGGTGACAGATGTGTCCCCAATGGTGACGAGGTCCTGAACAAGGCTTTTGGGACTGCCATGGTGCCAAAATCTCTGCAGAGCTCATGGTTCGGCTCAAGTTTGTTCGAGATCCCAAACAAGCCGGGGACCCAAAAACAGATGCTCGCAGGGGTTGTCGAGCCAGCAGCTTTTGGGTTCACCAATTCATCTGTCCATGTCTTTTCTGCTCACCAGGATGCTGTGCTTGGTAAAGAGCCCGCTTGATCCGCCTACACTCACCAGTTGATGTCAAGGATGAGTCTTTGTTTGGACCGGACATGACTTGCTGTAACAAGGGCATGTCTGAGTTTATATGAGGACAGCAACCAATGGTGTCAAACAAGAAGCTTTGGCGGTCACGTCATTCCCCAAGAGGCAAACCCCAAGACCCAAGGCTGGCCGCGGCTGGCCTCTTCAACTTCAATCATCACAAATACACCATAGATAGAGAATACAGTGATTGAACAAGGACAGTTTTGTCAATGGTTCATGGTGTCTTGGACAATTGGTCAACCTCACTTGAAAGTATTTGCAAAACCTTGTAGACATCTCAGACTTCTCAAACCTGCAGTGCAATTCAGGGTCTGTCACTCAGTTACATTGAAGAAACTCCGCAGATCTCCCCAGGCTCCCAGTTCTAGAACAAATGCTTGAAATATTGATCCACGTTCCCTTTCCTGGGGATAGAGCAGAGGGGCCAAAAGGTGATTCACACCATGCTCTTGCTGTGAAACCTCCCTTCCTTCAACCCACTATTGTATCCGCTAGTTGGAGCTTCTTCAGCGAAGAATTGTTCATCTTCAACCTCAACCAAAATCACGTCAATCGTCCAAGGTCTTCCAAGGCGCAAGCCACGATCCTCCTGTGTCAGTGCTCTCAAGCCTTCAAGAGGTAGCCGGCGACGCACCTGGCAGGAATTGCCAGAAAAAATTCCCCACCCTCTGCGGATTCAATGAGACTCAGCTTTGTGGTCGAGGGCAGATCCACTGATGGAGGAGTGGTCTAACAGTTCATGGCGTTTGTTGCCAGTTCACAGCACAAGAACAGAAAATTGTTTATATGTATATATCGTTTTATGTATTTATATATATATATATGTTGTTTTTCTTTTGTTGGATCTATTTAGGTAGGGTAGGTAGGGTCGCATTCCCAAATCGGACACATTCATTGTTCCCATTGTAAAATCGGCATTCACGCCCTGTCCACATCATTGGGCCAGACCTTTCAGGAAATCAACCACCGTCATCTCTCAGACGGAATCTAGATATATGTCCCAGCAACGCCCACAAACACAACTCGAAAAGAGCACTTCTACACCGACAGCCACATAGAGAAATGTCCTGCCGAGTCCTGCCTACCGCCTACCCTACTCAATCTCTAATTGCCCACTGAAGCCACCTCTGTCGCCGGATTCAGCGCCACGAGCGGGGATCCGTTCTGCCGTGCTGCCTCGAAGACTGGCGCATACCTCACCCAGCAGGTGAAAGAAGACTGGAAGGTAGAAAAAATGAAAAGGGGTGGGCCCCCTTCCATAAGGGCCTCCTTGACAAACACCTTCTTGTTCCTCTATCCATCAGACTGAGAATCCTAGACATGAGGGAACGAACGAGGGTCACCATGTGACAAACAACGGCCACCATTTACATGTCATGAATAAACAGTTCACTCACTTTCGAGTCTGCAAAATGATGAGGTTGAGAGCAGTGTTTTGTTTACAGGTGTACCAAAGCTGCACATGTGGAAAATATCGCACAAAGGATCACAAATGTGCAGACTAGGAAATCCTGAATTTAACATGCTGGATATGTGCGCATTCATCAACGCATTTGCACAGGTTTGGATAAAGCTGCTACCGCTGTGAGATCAAGACTTGCATGACAAAGGGATCACACCAAAACATACAGCGATGATTAGGTGGTCAAACACTGGTTGCATTTCCAGCGGCAAATCGAAAGGCCAAACCCATCTTTTGGACCACTCCGTGGCTTCATACAAGTCCTTCACCTCGTGCCAGGCCAACTCGGGTTGAAGTACTGTTGATGGAAGATCGAAACCACAGTAGGACGCTTCCCATCTCAGTGTTCAATGATGTCTTCCATCAATAGTTTTCAATGCTAATCACATGACAAACATAGACTCGAGCTCAGGTAGCTTGAGAGACCAATCCCTGGTAAATTGCTTGTCGAAAGCAAACCAACTCTTTTGGCACACATCTTTGGAGGCTCCGGACCTCCCCTTGTCAGAATGGATTAGGGGGTGGGAATTATCCATGTTCAACCATATACAGCGAGTGTAAAACTGCACAAATGTGAGGCTAAACTGCCCCGACTTTTCCCCTCCGTGCCACTCCGTGCTGTGTGCTGCACCAATTCTCCTCTGGACGGACTACCAAAGCTCATGTAATCAAACAAGTGCCCAGAGGAAAAATCCGGGTGACTCACTAAGCAAGGGACCAGCACCAGTTCTTTCGGATATAAGATTAGTGAGTGGAAAGCACTAACGAGGCAATAGAAAAGCAAATTCTTCTGGGGGAGGATCAATATGTGAGAAAAGGGAACTGCTCCGCACAGTGTTCATGGGGCATTTCAGAAAAAACAAAGAGTGGACTCCTTCTACAGTACATCCTAGGTGAAAGGAGAAAGGGACACTCCCTTTCCCTCCCGCAAAAGAAACCTGTACGAGTTCGCCAAGTGTCAGTCATCTCTCCCCGGCCAAAGCTGTCCAAGATTGGCTGAAACTGTTGTTCCACCATCTCCAGCCCCACCGCTGGCGGAATGCCTGCACGCCGGCCCCGCTCCTCAAGAATGTGGAGTCTCATGTGTAGGTGGACAGAATGGTCCGGTACAAGATCCTTACGAGGTCTGAATTCGGAGTCAGAAACCCCTCCAAGATTTCCTGGTTCCGTGAGTGTGTCTCCATCAACACTGTGTCCTACGCCACAGGCCGGAAAAGGTTGCACTTGGACGGGCTGGTTAGAAGCTCCAACCAAAGCCATGGTGCTTAGCATGCTTCTCTGGAACTCAAAGGACTCTAGAAGTCGGGAGCCGGCTCCTTTTCAATTCTTTTTGATTCTTTGGATGGCTGAAAAAAAAATAAGAAAAACGTTTGCTGGAAGCCACCAGAAACTCATGAGCATTTCATCGTTATTGGGAGTGTCAGGTGTTGACCCCACAGTCATGTAATTTATTCCAAAATCTGTTGGCCGCTTTGCTTTGTTCTTCGACTGCCAGGCAGGTTGGATGCAAGGCAAGAGAATGATTTAATTTAATCAGCCAAGTTTAGTTTCAGCCAAACCCATCTGAACTCCAAGAACTTTTCGGCCCATCCTTCGTGAACTCTCGTGTGAAGTCCGCTTCCATGGAGTGGTCACTGCTGCTGTTGTGATGCTCCCCCAGGATCACGACATCACAGTCATCTGCTAATTCTTGAGGGAACTCACTTGAGGTCCTCCTCAGAATGGCGTGGGAAGCTCGTCAAAGACCCCAAACCCATGGTGTCCCCCCCAGTGGACTATACTCTGGAGGTTTGGATATGCGGGGACCCTGTGTTCCTGAAACCCACCGGGGCGGCCCACGATAACGGCTTCAAACCTCGCGACATCGCAGAGACACTGCAACACAGACACAGGCAGTTTGCTGCTTGCTCTGCAAAAGTCCGAGAGTATATTTCAAAACTCCGCATGCCCCGCTGTAGTGTTCCCAAGTGGTGGCTTAAAGGTTTGGAGTTGCACCAAAGTGGGCGAAGGCTTCACCAGAAAGAGACCAGTGTTTTTTCTCCATCATCAGACCTCGCATTCCATCCTCCAGGTCCACCATTTGTCAACCCAGGTGTCGACAGCTTCTTGGGGGCTGACCCACTCGCTGCAGGCGCCACCCGAAAGAGCTGTCGCATAGGTTCGGCAGGAGCCGGGGCTTCCGCAGTGGCAGGGCCTGCGGCGTGGCTTCATGTGCCTCCAAGTTGGGAATGATATGAGCGGAGCAAAGTGGAGATGTCGCAAAATCAACACTACCTGACCTGCTTAATTTGCAACCAAATGGGCTTGCTTTCTGTGGCAAAAACTATGAGGCACTTCCTGGCTTTTCTGTGCCTGCATTGCTTCATTGTTAGATTGAAGGGCATGAATCTGGTGGTAAGCTTTGTGCAGCAGGTCCTAGACAAGCCACTCGAGCTTAGGCCCCTTGGGCTGGGGCGTCCTCCAACTTCGCGTGGATCCAAGAATTCCCCAAAGCTTCAGAGCAACCGTGGGATCGTCTTTGTCTTACGCTGGTTCTTGGAACACAAGACTGAAAGAGACACTGCCAAAGCTAGCACGTTGTTTGTTCGAGAACAAAGACGAGCATGAAAAAGATTGTTTCAAGTAAGACTTAAGGAATGGCATTCCATGTCATTCTTGCCTGCGAGTCCTGCACTTGCGATGCCCAGGCTAAGGCCTCGCCTCGGATAAGAATCTGCGACAGCACCAGATCCACCATGGCACGTATCTGCTGTGCAGAAAAAAACAAAAGCTCCGTATATATCCCTTCTAGTAACAAGAAGCCATTAGAAGCTATTTACTATACAGTATATATGCCTTTCCACTTGCACCCAAAGTGCCTGGTTCCGGACAGCTTGGAAGACATGGCCATTCGGCCCAGCCGCCGGAGCGCCTGGCTGCTCTTGGGGCCAGGCCTTGGAGAAAGCGCCAAGAGGAAAGGATTTAAACAAAACGACCTCTTTTCGCAGAGCAAAGGTCGAAGAAAAGCTTCTATCAAGCCCCTCTGCGAAAACGAAACAAATGTGAGCCGCTGTGAAGACATGCCTTTCCTGTGTTCAACATGGAAATCAGTTCTGCCACACACCCTGCCTCATCTGCGAGGCCAGGGCCGAAAATCCTGCCACCCATGGCCAGCAGCCTCCAGCGCCCCAGGCCCTTCGCGGCGTTCGCTGCGCGCGGCGAGCCGATGCCAACGTCGGCGTCGCTGGCGCAGCCGAGGGCACTGCGCTTCGGGCGAGCATGGCGGGATGGGGTACAAAGACCAGGCGAGGCAAACGCTGCGGGAGGAGTAGGCAGAGATGAAAAGCAGACAATCTCAAGGCCGGAGCTGAGTCAGTCAAATCTAGCCAATGCTCGGTGCCCTGGCTGGAAGACTGTGGAAGATGAGTTGCCACTCCAAATGTGGTATGGTATGATGTACTTCTATACGGATCAGTTGCGAGCTTATTGCATTTAGACACCAGTCTGAAAGCCGCGTTGATAAACCTATGTTTCACTGGACACAAAATTCCATGTCCTTAGGCACCAATCCAAGAGCCATGGTGGTTACATCGTTCCGAATTCCGTTGAATGCTCGCAGTACCTGGCCTCAAATCTCCTTTTGTGGGGGAAGAGACGACCGCTATCACTCATGTTTAAACATTCCTGAAAAACCAGACTTAGCCACGGAGCGAAAGGTCTTTGCTTTGAAACAGTCAAACTGTGGGTCTGTGGGTGGTGGTCGCGGGCTTTCCACTAAGCCGGTCTTCACAAACCTTATGGACCTGGTCATCACAGCCCGACCGCGAGTGGATCCCTCTCCTGCCATAGCGGTAGGTGCATTGACACCCGTTGGGTGCCACCATCCACGCGGTTTTCCGCGGGATCGGCCCATTTGGACCCTGGCAGCGGGTCATTGCCGAAGGGCAAGCCCCCCCTTTACGAAGCAAGGGGCGACGCTTCAATCGAAGATGAACAATGTTATGTTTCGACTCCACTGTCCTATTTGGGTCTGTCTATCTTGTGATAAGGAGCCTGCTTGTGGGGAAAATGGGCGTTTCAACCAATTGCGAGGAGGATCCCCCCATTTGGAGGCAAAGCTATTTGCACAACCATCAAGTAAGATTCTTGGTGGCTTCTCGAACAGCCCGCCTGAAAAATGGCCCCAAAGAGAATGCAAAGCAATGAGATGTTGCTGAATGCATATTATATTATATTGTATTACAATATGCTATGTTGTGTTGAATTATTTTATACTATATTGGCTAGGGGATGATTTCGGACCTCTACTTTTGAGGCATTTACATGTTACTCCAACATACATACTTTCATTGCTTACTTCAACATCTGACATCTGGCTTCATTGCTTATTCCAACATCTGGCTTCACCAACATCTGGCTTCATTGCTTACTTCAACATCTGGCTTCATTGCATACTCCAACATCTGGCTTCATTGCTTACTTCAACATCTGGCTTCCAACTTCATTAATTACGTAACATTGCAACAAACAAACTGGATTGCAAACCAAACCTCTAGTTTGCAAACTCATTCCTTCATTATATATAAATGTTGCTTGTGAGGTGGGGGGGGGGGGGGGGGGGGGGGGGGGGGGGAGGGGGGGGACTCTTGACTCCCGAAAGTGATTGCCAAAAGAATTCTCAGAGCCATGAATTTCTCAGGCGTCAAGACGAAGAATTTCTTGAATTTCTTTGATTGCCTGTGCATGTGGGGCTTTGACTACCCATCTTGAATCATTGTCAGAGAAGCAGGTGTCTGGCATCAGAAGCTCAACCCATGGGAAAAAGTCTTTCATCAAGCAGTGCAGGCAGACCTTTGGCGCTATGCAACTTCTTTCAGTATCACTTCGACACCCCTGAAGTCAGCGAACCAAGTTCGGAAAGTTAAGAAGACTGTCATCAAGAAGACTTGTGCCATCAAAAGACCTTCAGCCAGCTCCAATACTGTCATGAAGAAGCCATTTGCCACCAAGAAACCTTCATCCAGATCCAAGACCTACGGTGCCTGGAAACGACCTGCTGGAAACAACAAGTTTGAGCCACACTCACAAAAGAAGACCCCAAACGCTACCTCTTTCTACAAGAAGTACAAAAATGTTGTTGAAGTTGATGAGTCTCAGCGAAGCGGTAGTCTGAGTAAAAGTTGCCGCGCAGAAACTGATCAGGTCTGGGTGTGGGGTGCTACTGTTCCTGGCAGGCCAGAACATTTCTTATTTCGTGTCTTGGATCACCCACAAGATGCTCTGGATGGCAAGCCTCGAGGTCAGGCTGAGATTCTTGATTGCCTTCGCCTTCTCAACCTGCAACCCAAGACCATCATCGTGACCAATGGATGGAAGGCGACGGTAGCGGCTATCAAGGATCTAAAAAAAGAAAAGGGATGGACTAACGCAGATTTGTGGCATGAAATTGTGAACCATAGCACCAATGCCAATGGATTCACTACGAATCACATTGAAAACCGTTGGTCACTTGTAAAAAGATGGGTTCGCAAGCGTGAAGGCGGCAAAGTGCCTTCACATAGCAACCGCCAAAGGTGGAAATGCCTTTTGAATGAATATCGGTGGCGAAAAATGCACGCCAAAGCTAATAGAGATGTCTATGTAGTGCCCTTGACTACCACAATGGAAGCCATGCAGCGTCTGCACCAGATCTAGGCTAATGCTCACAAAAGCTTCGGAAAAAAGAAAACCTATTCCTTTGCGTCTGGCATGTTTATGTTTGCTTGCTGTTCATTTGCTTGTTGCATGTGCAACTTGCGTGCATGTATTTTGCAGGCATTTTCCCTGAGCACAGTCATTGCTTCGTAGTCAGACTGTTTAGTACTAGTAGATCATGCCGAAGTCTCCGCGCATGCAGCTCTCTGTGGAAGCCTACATGAACGAACGACAGCACATCACTTTGGAGCTCATGGGCAATGTGTCTCAAAGCACCTCTTCAGAACCTACTTCTTGTCCTGATGCTGCTGACATCATGGAAAACATTGGCAATGGAACAATAATCGCTGTGCATAGTGACAGGGCGGCAGTCACTAAAAAGCAAATTCAAGTCCAAATCAGCACCATCAGACGCAATGCAGTGAACCAGGGAACCCTGGCACAAGGTACTGCGTGGTCGAGTAACTGCCAGACGGCGCTGCTTTCTTGGTTACAAGCCAAGAAAGATGGCCGTGCTCGCTCGGCATCAGCTTCCCAAGGCAGCGTTCCAATGCTTGCTCTTCCTGCACCTGTTCTTCCTGCAGCAG